TTTAGCCATGTGGGAGTCCAGCGACCTAACATTATGCCATCTGCTGGTCCCTATAGAAATATTTTTAACCATCCTTTAATCTGAATGACATGTAAAAGAAAAAAATCAATAATGTAGAAATTCTAAGTCTCCAAAGGAGATTTTCATATATCCACAAAGAAGTGGGCACTGATGATGAGATTTTTAAGAAACATCTGTGTCCACACCCCGCTGTAATTGTCCCATTTTCTCTTCCAGCTGCTTCCCTTTGCCTGCAAGCGGTGCCCGGATAAGATGGATGTTTCTCGTGACTTCTTTAATATCCTGAACTTTCTGTAGCTCTTTATTTTTCTTCAATCTGTTCATTACACATTCAGTTTGTCGTTTCTGTTTGGTCTCTTCAACTCTCTTCACTGCCTCAGTAGTTCCATTCCTCAGCTCTCGCTGCATTTGACAGGCTCCTTTCTATGGTTTTCCAATTCCAAGGAATTATCTACCGTTAGCTCTTCACCAGCTGCTTCCTGCAGTGCTATGGTCTACTTCACCTCGTGTGGGCTGCATTTCTTTTTAAAGTTTCTGTGACACTCGTATTTACGGAATCTGAACAGCTTGGCGTTGTTGCAGATGAACATCGTGCTGTGGCTGGGACACATGGGCCCCAAGCAGATAAAACCCTTCTCAATGTGCATGTCGAATCCCCAGGGGTATCCCCAGAGAAGCTATGCTTGAGAGCCAGTCTGTTATTTATTTTTTAAAGAATGATTTATTTAATTGTATTTATTCATTTATTTTAATCTGACCAGAGAGAAACAGACAGAGAAAGAGAGAGAGAAAGAAAGAGAGTGCAGAAAGCAAGCTACCAGGTCCAGGACTCGAACTGTGGTTGGACATGTAGGAGTGTCCAGTGAACTTAACCATCACACCACCTGCTGACCCCCAGTCTGTTACTTTTTATCTCATTCCCGATTCTTGTCTTTGAGGATTTTTATCATGCAGGCAGTTGTTTTTGTTTGGGCTCTGCGCTTGTGGCTGGTTCCTTGATCGAATTCAGCCTGCCTATGCTTAACATACCTAACAGGTACAATGTGAAAGTGACAGCAAGCTGGACCCCACAGGTGTGAGCTGTGAAGCACAAGATGGGCAGAAACAGCATCATTGTTCAGGTGTCTGACTGCATAGGTGTCCTGTTGGGGTCCTTCCTCAAAGAAGACACACATGACCAGGTCAGAGAAACTCAAGGGTGAGTAGGGGAAGTTCTGGCAGCAGCAGCCCCATTGCTGCTTTGCACCAAGGAGGTGAGTCAGCAGATAAATGACACTAGAGCATACAGGAGAGTGGCCGCCATGCCACTTACTTCTTCCTGACCGGCTAGGATGGCCTCTCTTGTCACCTACCCTGAAAAGAAACTACATGCTGGGAGTTCTGGGAAATGTTCAGCCTGGCTGAATGGACATATTACAACACTGCCACAAGGGGGCCGAGGAGCTGACCCTCCACCCCCAGAGAGATTTTGGGATTGCATGGACTCTACAGATCAACATCTTACTATGGAGTCTTCTCTTCCATGAACATAGGCTATCTCTCCATTTATGTAGTTATTTTTAATGCTCTGTTTTGAGACAGATTTCTAGCAATAGAGAGCAACAATACTCCTAGAATGCTCACTATGACTCAGGTGCTCTTTACAATATATGTAGCTACAAATACAAAGAAACTCATATACACCTCACATTTGCCAGTGAGGAAGTTCTGCAATTTTCTCTATTGTGTAAGACAGGACTGAAGCCAGAGGTGCTGAGTGACTTGCCAGATGTCATAACCCTAAAAGTGGCAAAAGCAGAACTGAAACCCTGGTAGCTGGTTCCAGAACCCCTCCTCCCCTCACACTCCCCTTTCTTTGGAAACAGTTATCAGCATTCACACACACTGCCAGTAGCACAGAAGATCAAGACGGATGTCCTGTGTGTGTAAGATTTTACTCTTACATTCATTGTGCATGTAAGATTTCTGTGCATATAAGATTTACTCTTACATTCAAATCATTGTCTTAATTCTATGACACATTAAGGTTGTGCTCTCTGAGTTGCTGCAGTGGAAAGGGGACATATTTGTCAGTCTTCCAGTACTTTGTATTCATGAAGGTTTGTAAGTTATTTAGAATGAGGTTCTAGAATTTTATTAGTTAGCAGGAAAACCAAAAGCAGGCTGATAGAGTCAAATTTTACAAAAAGAAAGAGAATAAGTGTAATAGAATTTTCTATAAAAGCTGATTAAACTATGCTCACTCAGTAGGATGGTATTTAAGTGAGCCAGATCCCTCATGGCTAATCTTGGTTCAAATTCTGGCCCAGATGATTTGAAAAACATGGTGGGCACGTGTGTGTGGATGCCCGTAATCCCAACAGGATGGGGAAATGGAGAATTTGTTGATCATACCCCATTGCAGGTGCTTTCTTCCTCTCTCACTGTTTGCCTTTCTGGTGATCTGTCCCTGGCAAGCACACATACTGTGTGTGTGTGTGTGTGTGTGTGTGTGTGTGTGTGTGTACTAATTAAAACAAACACATCACTATAACGTGCTATTAGCATCAGGGAAATACATATTTGGACTCGGAGGAAACATGTCCATGCCAGGAGATCACAGAGACGGATGGGGTGGATAGGAGAGTGAGGTTCTGCTGCAGAACAAAATGTTTCCATTTCTTTTCTTTTCTTTTCTTTTCTTTTCTTTTCTTTTTTTCTTTTCTTTTTTTTTTTTTTAAGAGGTTTTTGCTATAGGGCACGTGCCCTGGCCAGATAGGCAGACAGAGACAGAAAGATAGAAAGCGAGAAATCACCCCCCGGGGGGATGGCCACGCCGCAATCTCTTCTCCATTCTCCTCCATTCTTCTCTCAGGATCTTGGGCACTCACGCACACGCGCCCAGCGTGATTTTTAAGCCACCGGGTCCGGGATGTGAACTGTGGTCGACTACATGGGAATCCAGCGACATAGCTATTATGCCAACTGCTGGTCCCGACAAGTTTCCGTTTCTGATGAAACCGAGTTCTGAGGGTCTCTGTCCCCTCAGCTTCCTCATGTCCTTCTCCGTCTCTCACAGTCACCATGTCCAAGCCCCATCAACAGAGAACTGACACAGGAATTGCTCTGCATTCCTACAGGAATTCTCCACAGCCATGGGGACTGAGGAGCTGCACCTGTGAGAAACGGAGTGGGGCAGAGGGGCCCTGAGGTGCTCCGATTGTCTGGTCTTTGCTGCAGCTACTAGGCTCAGAGGAGCTGATAGACTGGGAGCGGGGGAGGGTGAGCTCATGGCCCAGACACTCTCGGTTTGCACATTGCTGTATGTGCATTTCAACTAGATCACAGTTCTCAGACAGGAGTGCACAGTGAGACACCAGTTGTTTGAAGAAAACCTGCACGATTTTGTAAATGCGCACAGATGTATTTAATTCATGAGAAGGGTGTGGCAGACACACACAGTAATGCTAGAGGGTCCTTCTGGAAGGCTGGGCTGGGTAGGCTGGAAGGCGGTGGGGTAGAAGAGATTTTCTGTCTCACTCTATGGATTGTAAATTGCTTGACGGTTTTGCTAGAAGCTCATGGTTTCCTCTACCTGCATAATTCTTTCAGAGATGAATGAGAATGTGTTCCCGATCATCTTCCTTCCTGTGGTCACATACTGTATATACCGCCATACTAATGTACTACCATCCTCCATCATTCCAAGGACTGCTCCTCTCTGGGGCCCAGCTGGAGTGTGAGGACACCAGCCCTGGCCTGACCGGCTGAGCTGAGAGTGCACAGGATAGTGTCGGTCACTGACGTGCGCTCTCTTCCACGGATGGGGGCAGGTGGTGGTGCAGAGGTGTACAACTAGATCCACATGGGAAGGCTCTAGGTTCGTGTCCCAGGACCTCCCATGCATGACAGGTACACAGGTGTGTGCTCATAATCTGGACTGGCTGGACTAGGGGAGGATCATGGTGCCAAGACCCTGTCAGGGGACCAGCAGATGGCATAATGGCTATGTTGCTGGACTCCCACGTAGTTGACCGCCGTTCGAGTCCCAGACCCGGTGGCTTAAACCACACATCGGGCACGTGTGCATGTATGGCCAAAATCCCAAGAAGAGAACGAAGGAGAAGGGATTGTGGTGTGACCAACCCCCGTGGGGGGAGATTTCTCGGTTTCTGTCTCTCTGTCTCTCCCTGTCCCTCTGGCGAGTGCACACACCTTATAGCAAAAGTCTCTCTAAAACATAATAAAAAAGACCTTGCCAGGAAGGCTTGCTCCCTGTCTCTGCCTCTTTGTCTTGTTCTCGCAGTCATTTAGAACATACATGAGTGAACTTTTCTTTTTTTTTTCATTTTTGCTTTAGGTCTCATTCCTGTCTTGTCTTCGCAGTCATTTAGAACATACAGGAGTGAACTTTTCTTTTTTTTTCATTTTTGCTTTAGGTCTCATTCCTTCACCAGAGAGAGAAAGAGAGAGAGAGAGAGAGAGAAATCACCCCCCAGAGGATGGCCACACTGCAGTCCCTCCTCCTCCATTCCGCTTCAGCATTTTGGGCTCCCAGACACACACAAGCCTGGCTTGATTTTAAAGTCTCTGAGTCCGAGTCTCAAACCACTCAGTTGGCCATGTGGGATCCAGACACCTTATGAGTCAGACGGCCCAAATAAAGGAACCTTATAGAAGCACTGGGTTGGTGTCGGTGAGGGGTGGGGGCAGCCTCTCCCGGACAGCAGAGCAAGGACACGAGGGGGCAGAGGACAAAGCGGCTGCTCTAAGAGATCAAAGTGTAGAGACAGCCCAATGCCCATGTGGGGCTGGGGAGCACCAGGCTCGGAGGCCGCTGCTCTTCTGCCTCGAAGGGCCAAAGGGCCGTGACTGGCAGCAGGAGGCACCTGGAGAAAGGCCAGAGGACTCATGCCTCTCCTTCTGGGGATAGAGCCTCCAGGGTTGGAGCCAAAGGCCTCAGACCTGCTGGGGCAGAGAGAGGAGGGAAATCAGGGCTGGAGTTAGGGGAGCCTCAGGAGGCAGGGAGAGGCAGGAGAGAACAGTCCCTGGGGAGGAGAGGAGGGGAAGGAGGGGAGAGGGAGGAGGAGGACTCTGGCAGGTGGGAGAAGCCAAGGGTCTGCAGGGAATGAGGAGGGAAGGACTGAGGGGGAAGAGGTGGGAGGACTTAGGGGCAGGGTCTAGGGTTAAAGCAGGAGCTGAGTGACCTGAGCACAGGGAGAAGAGGAAGGACTCCCCAAAAGCCCAGGAAAGATCAGGATGCCCAGAGTGGGGAGGGGGGAGGACAGAGGGGCCACGAGGCGCTCACCCCCAGGATGTCCTCCAGCTGTCCCAGAAGCAGGTCCGCATTTTCACGCAGACCTGCCCAGGGCTCAAAGGCTGCTCCCTGGTGCCTCACGAAGCGCTCCCAGCACAGGGCAAACTCTGCAGGGCAGGGCAGGCGGTCAGCTCCCCAGGCCGGACAGGAGCCCCCCTCACACGGCCCTCCCCGGGCCTGCCCTCAGCCCAGCGTCCTTCCACGTGGGCCCAGAATCTTGTCCCCGGGCCCTACTGTCCTAGTCCAGGCTCCCTCGTGGCTCCCAGTCCTGCTGGAATCTGCCCCCTCCCCCCAGGTCCCTTCCAAGCAGCTGACCCCTGTTAGTCATGACCCTGATGGGGGTCCCAGTGCTGTTCAGGGTCCTCAGCCCCTGACGATTTTCTGGGTCTTCATGGTTGTAGAGTCGGGCTACAAAAATTCTCAGGCTGACGTTCCCGTGCTGGGCCAGGAATCCGGCCACGGCCCGAGCACACTGAGAACAGGGGCTCCAGGAAAGGTACCAGGTGACCCGGTAGCGCCGGCCACCGTCCAGCAGCTGCAGGATGTCAGGGGAGGACAGGAAACGCCTCTCGGCGTGCTCGAGTGCCTGAAGCCAGAAGAGAAGGAGGGGAGAGGGTAGGTTGGGTGACCCTGCAAGCCAGAGGGGAAGCCCCCCACTCGGGCTTCCATCAATTGCCTCACTCATTCAACAAAATCCCACCAGTGCCCCCTCATGCCACAGCTCAGGCAAGACCCTGGGGTGCGAGGATGGGTCACGCATGGCCCTGCCTCCAGGAGGTCGTTCTGGGGGAGACTGATGAGGACCCAGAGTGACCCCACCCCCTGCACCCCACAGACCCCCCCCATGGCACCATGGACACAGCGGCCTGGATGTAGTCCCGCAGGTGTGGGGGGTTGGCACCCTGGCCTTCCCTCTGGGAGGTTCCCCACCCCACACCTCCAGTGTCGGACCTGCACGCGGCCTCCCTCCCTGCAGTCTGGGCTGCGCCTGCCTTGGTCGACACCTGGTTGTGGAGAACACCCACGTCCAGCGGCACGATCGCCCCCTCCATCCGCTCCTCCTCCAGGAGATAGCACAGGTACGTCTTGCGTCGTCCTGCGGCCCTTTGTAGGTTTTTGTAGTGAAAATTGAACTTCTCTGGAGCCATCAGGGATCTGGAGGTCCGAGGGGAGAGCAGGAAGGGGCGGAGGGCTCCCCTGGGTCCTTGCAGGCACTCGGGCTCCTGTGGGCCCACTGCCACCTGGGTGAGCCCAGAAGCTTTTGTCTCACTGCTGGTGACCTCCAGGTCACTGTGCTCAAAATCCAGCCTGTCCACATCTTGTCCTTACTGCGTGTAAAGTCGGGGACACGATCACCCCTGGACCCCGGGCTGCCTTCTGCTCCCTGAGGCCCTCCGCTGTGTGATGACCGCCCAGCCCTCCCTGTCCTGAGCCACAGACGCTCTGTCCCTAAGTCCAATGGGTTCTACCCTCTGCCCGTGCACTTGCACCTGCACTCCTGAGAGTCCGACCCTAGAGTCTACTTAATCAGGAGGCAGCTGGTTCTGCCATGGGGCTCTCTACCTGGGCAGGCCCTGCTGAGCCCTGGGAGGGCAGGTAGGGCTCACGGAGACTGAGGGAAGGGTACGGTCCAGAGCAGCGGCAGGACCTGGTGTGGGCTGACCTCCTCCACGTCCCAGGGTTGCTCTGTCCTTCCCCTGACTGGCGTCCCATCTCCACCAGGGACATCCCTCACACCTAGTAGCTGGTAAACTACGGTGAGATTGGGATGGAAGGGTTAGGCCAGGCTGGAGAGACGTGATCAGTTGGCAGCTGGTGGTAGATTCTTGCAGACCAGTGAGGAGGGTCCCCTGTCAAACCACCCTCACTGGCTTGGGCACGGTACCCTCATCTGGGATTTGAGGTTCCTCACCCACCCCTGCAGGAGGTGGGAGAGGCACAGAGTCGGGGGCGTCAGCCCAGAGACCAAGTTGGGAGGCCAGCTAAGACCCGAGAACAAGAGCCTAGGCCCAGCGAGGTCTGGAGGAGAGCCCCAGGCCGGGAGCAGGGCCTGGAGGGAGGGGACACATCTGCACAAGGCAAGTCCGAGGAGGAAGAGGCCCAGGAGCAGGGACGCTGGGAGCAGCTGGCCTTACCTGGGCTCCGACGCGGGCCTGGCCTCCATGTCTTTGTGCCTCCTCGGTGTCTGGATCCGGGTGACCGTCAGTGTGTGGTCGTGTCACTTCTGCTGGGATGTTCTTTGGACCCAACCTGGGTCCTTATATATCCTGAGTCTTGTAGAAGCCGCTGACTTGGCACTGCTGTGCCCCACCCCTTCCCAGCTCATGCCACTCATGCCACCCATGGGAGAGTCATGGAAGGAACCTTTCTGCCTGTCAAGCCCTTTGAGTGCTCAGGGTGCTTTTGGTTTTGAGTTCCCTGCTCTGACAGCCCCACCTAGATGTTTGGAGACTGCTCTGGGCAATGCTGTGGCCAGGTGTGGCCACTCTGGGCGGCAGGGACCAGGGAGGCAGCATGTGAGGGGACAATGGAGGACAGGTATCATACCCTGGAGGTGGCCCCACAGGGCAGCTTCCAGCGCAGCCACCCCTGAGTCCCAGTGGCAACCAGCACAGGGAGTGCCCAGCCCAGGATCCCTAGGGCCACTGTCCCCTCGCCCTGCATGGACCCCTGCAGCCTGCAGGACAGAGGTGGTCTGAAGTGGGCAGCAGGCCCTCATCCCAGCTCTGGAAGGCCAGGGCACAAATCCGTATGGCCCCCCTTCTACCTCCATCCATCTAATGAGCACAAACTCCAGTGGGAGTCTCACCCCATCACCCAGAGGGGAGAACAAAGGCTCGGCTGGGCGGGATGGCTTACCCAGGACCTCAACGTGCAGACGGCACCGGGTGTGCACCCACCTCTGAAGGGTTCATGCTCCTCTCCACCCCAGATCACACATACATTTAGAGAATTAGGTTTCTGAAATTAGCAAGATCCTGAATCCTAGTTGCAGGATGGTCCCTGCCTTCTCCTGGGTCCTACTGCCTGTACCAAGCTCTCCTGCCCCAGCACGGAGCTGGCCTGGGCTGGGGGTCCCACAAGGCTGCCCTTCTGCACCATTCACTCCCCTAAGCTGTCTCCTCTTAGGTCACCCTGGTCCAGTCCCCTGTGCCACACCAGGGGAGTCCGTGTCCCAGGCACACTCCTGCCCTGGCCTCCTGGTTGAGGACTGGGCTCCTGGCCCTCCCAGGCCGCCTGGCCCTAAGCTCTGGTGGACACCTTGGGACAGTGCCACCTTCAGTCTCAGGTGGGTGCCATCCTCATGGACAGACAAGAGGGTCTCTGGCCCCTGTGCTGTGGGGCCCTGCCTCACCTGCTTGCTAACCTTGGACTCCCTAATCAGGAGGACTGATTCTGCTGGCCTCTTAGATGGTTCCCCAGAGCGAACGCGCTTCGGGTGTGTGTTGTTCGCTGTGTGTGTCTAATGAGTGGGATTTGAGGCATACATGCACGTGCGCCCTGTGAAATTCTCAAGTTTCCAGGTCCAGGACGGGAACCATTGTAGGCCATGTGGGAGTCCAGTGCTTTAACCACCATGCCACCTGCTGGCGCCCAATATTCAGCTTTTAAAAAGAAAAAAACAACCTGGATGTCACTGCAGCAACCCGGATGTCACTGGAGAACATTGTGCCCAGTGAAATATTCCAGGCCCACAAAGACAAAGAGCACGTGTCCTCAATAGTACGTGGGCCCAGACGGCGCCACTCACAGACGCAGAGAGCAGAGTGGGGCCGCAGAGGCTGGGGCAGAGGGAAGTGCCGGTTCAAGGGGCACAGCATCTCAGACTGTAGAGATAAGTCTGTTTTTTTCTTTATTGCACAGCTTCATGAGCATCGTACATTTCAAAGTTGGTACAAGAGTAGATCTCAAGTGTTCTCACCACATAAATACTAGGTATTTGAGGTGACGAGTACCTTAGCAAACTTGATTTAATTACCTCACATTTTATTCCTAAATTATAATATCCTTTGTACCCCACAAATATATTGGATCGTTGGCAAGATCATGACATATGTTTTTTATGTTTTTCTATGCACAAATGTGTCCTGACTTTTCTGACAACCCAATATATTATTATAAAGTGTCAATGCACAAAAAAAATCAAGAAAGATAGTTCAACTCTGTTTCTAACTGCCGGAGGGCACTTACCAGAGAGAGAGAGAGAGAGAAATCAGCCCCCCATCAGGGTATGGCCACTCCACAGCCCCTTCTCCAATTCTCTGTCCTGACATGATTTGGGGGCATGCATGCACTTGTGCCCTGTGTTTTTCAAGCCACCAGGGCCAGGACTTGAACAGCTGTCAGTCACTTGGGACCTGGCTATGGGGCCAGATCACAACTGATTATTCTGATTATTCTTCTTTCTTTCTTTTTTTTTTTTTTCTTTTGAGTGTGATTTTTGCTATAGGGTGCATGTACTCACTAGAGAGATGGAAAGACAGAAAGTGAGAAATCACCCCCAGGGAGGATGGTCATGCCACAACCCCTTCTCCAGTCTCCTCTAGGGATCTTGGGCACACATGCACATGTGCCCAGCACGAGTTTTAAGACACTAGGTTCGGGACTTGAACCAAGATTGACTAACAGGGAGTCCAGTGATGTAAACATTACACCATCTGCTGATTCCCTGATTTAAAAAGAAAAAGTTTTATTTAATTTTATTTATTATTATTTTTTTAATTTGACCAGAGAGAGACACAGAGAGAAAGAGAGAGGAAGTGAGAAAGCAAGTCACCAGGTCTGGGACTCGAACCACAGTTGACCATGTAGTTAACCACCACACCACCTGCTGCCTCCCCAGCCCCTGATTTTTTGTTGATCTACTTACTTTTGTTATTTTTTTTAATTATTATTTTTAAATTTGGTATAGGCATGTGTACTCATTCAAGAGAGACAGAGAGAGGGAGGGAACGTGAGAAAGTACCCTGGGGGTGGCCATGCCACAATCCCTTCTCCATTCTCCTCTCGGGATTTCGGGCATGCATGCACATGCACCCAGTGTGTTTCCAAGCCACCAGATCTGACACTGGAGCTGCACGGCCGGCTGTGTGGAATCCAGCCCCCTTACCACGCTACTGGCTGGCCTGCACCATCTTAGGAGCTCACTGTCTCTGCTGGCCTCTGTGAATGGCCTGTTTACATACTTGGAAAAAGGAGTTTTAATCTGCGGTGCGCACAGGCCTCCTGGTTTAGATATTATACAAAGTCTGTCCCTGAGTTTTCTTGATTGGAGGTTGAATGGAGCAAGGGCTGACAGGAACGATGACGGAGGAGGGAGAGAGCAGAGGGCCCAGTGAGAGGGAAAGGGGGAAAGGGAGCTGCCGCTCTGGAGGGAGCAGGTGACACTGAGCAGAGGCTTAGCAAGGCTCCTGGAGGGGGGAAAGGAAAGAGAAGAGGTAGGGAAGGAGAAGGGGAGGAGGCCCACCTGGAGGGCGCTCTGCAGTCCGCTAGGCATGACTGACTGCCCTCCAACCCAGCCCTGGGCTGAATGGCCTTCCCAGCAGTGCCCAAACTGAAACCTGGCAGGGGAGCTAGAGTCCTCTCCAGTCATGGGGCAGGGACGCTACAGGTGGGGCTTTAGGGACAGACTGGCCACCTTGTTATTCCAGTCTCCTCAGGCTCTCTTTCCC